TTGGTTTTTATTTATTTTTTTCAACAGAGTCTACTCCTAAGGTAAGTTGGCATTATTTTTTGATGCATTATTAACTACATTCAGCTAACAAAAACTAGCGTATTTTCGCTTTACAATAATGATAAATAACAGTGATATATGTAAAATATATTTGTGTGGACCGGTAAAGACAAAAAACGTTAAATTATTAATATCTTTAATTAGCCTTATATGTATAGGTATAGTTGATTTCTGACGAAATATCACTACAGCTCCTAGCAGTGATTAACCTTTGTTTCTACGTACTTGTTTTCTAATTATTCGTCATGCGATGAATAAGAAATTGCTAGGTATTGCAAAGGTAAAGTGGTTTAGAATTAGCAATCCGGTATATTTGGGAATATTTGAAACTAATAGTTATTTGAAATGTGCGTGGGATAACCAACTTTCAAATGATGATTTACAACAGCTAGACAATATCAAAGAAACAATTTTTTACTAAAGCTGTACTAACTTGATCTATAATAAAAATATTCTCCCGAAATTTAAAGAATTATTAAATGAAGTTTTTGTTCGCTCAATATGAGAAATGCAGTTTTTTTAAGAACTGTGTTTACTCAACTCATCCTTTCAAGGAACTTCTAAAATTTTCCAAGCAAGATTATTAAAGTAACTGGCAAAGATAAAAAAATGTGTAACATAATGAGTTACCGTAAATCAACTTTCAAAAAGTTTTAACATTCTGCTGTCATTATTCGGATAACTGTGTGGTAACATTATAAAATTGAGAATGTAGTAAGTACGATTTTATCGACAGTGCATTGAGTGACATTCCTGAACACGCCCCTGCATACTGGGAAAACAATGAATAATAACTTATCATTTTTCTAATGAATCTGTGGGAGGGGAATAAAAAATGATTCTATATAGAAAGAAGTTATTATAGGAATATAATTTTCACACTTTTATAAAATTACAATAAATCCACATAATGTGCCCAATATAATGTAAAATCTGATCCAGCAAACGAGACGCTGAGAACAATAAAATTGAGCTATGATGTCCTAAATTAGTTCATACGATTAAACGAACGTCAGATCCAACTGGATATTTACTAGTCACTAGTCTGTCACAAAATTATTTTACAAATTACAATTCGATTCCATAAGAAAAGATCAAAAACCGTGCGATGATCGTTTGCCTCACTTTCGATCGGCATCCATTAAAAGTCTGAAGTTGTACCCTTTTCGCAGGAGAATATAATCTCCTGTGAAACTTTTTCCTAAAACACTGATTGAGCTGATTATAAATTTATTTTACTATCTAGTGAGTGTGCTTTCAATAATAAATCTAAGTATTTTATCTACACAATTCACCAATAAATTGAAATAAATTCACGCAGTCATTAATTTTTTTGGGTTACTTGTAGGTATACGCAAATCTAAAAAATATGAGTGGAATGATAAATTACGGTAGAGAGTCATCATCATATTTTGTAGAATTTAGATAGGATTTATTCGACAAAATTTTGAGCTGACGTCATCAATTTTTTGGAGGAGATAAGTATGTAAATATATTTTGATTAAACATTTATCATGTATCAAAATGTTGTTTTATAATTTTGATTTTTTTCCAAAAATCTGGACGTTTCGGGTAAAAACTCAATACGAAATCATAAATTACATGTGTAGGACTATGTTATTTCATACAATTTAAAACCTGGCATCAGCCAAACTTACTTTTTGAGGGCAAATCGGTGTTGCAACTTGTTACTAACTGTGACACATTTACTAGGTAAAATTTTAAAGTGTCGTCATCACATTATTGGTGGGGATGATTAGACAAATTTTGGTGAGCGTTTTACCATCTACATGATACTCAGAACTATCGGCATAGTCCTCTCAAAGATTATCTGTCTAATAAAAATCGGGACGGCAGACGGACAGACAAACAGAAACGGGAGACTTATTTCTTCGTACTCTAGGGGTTATGAAAGGTCGAAAAAACGTAAAAGTAGAGGGTCAGCCGACGGACTCGATTGCAATACTTCCTTCGCTTACGCTTCGCTTAGAAGTAAAACATTTTAAAATATGCAAATTTTCTAAAATAGTCCACTTTGTTATCGTTATGTTGAGGAGCAAATGAAAATGTGAAACTTTCACGAAATGTTGTCTCTACATTCATCTTTTGAGGCCCGTTAGTCTTGTTCTGTTATTTTCCTCTTTACGTGAGATATAGAATTTGTTTAAAAGGTACTCTTAGGGGATAGAGTTACATTTTTTATTGTATAAGTAATTGAGTACTAAATTCCTGAAAAAATTCAACTCTCTTGGGTCAATAGTATTGGCACAGGAGTCACTTGAAAATCACAAAATTCAGCAAATTATAACGAAGTTTCAGTATTCACACTTATTATTGAAAAGCACACTTACTAGGTAGTAAATAAAATTACAATCATTTTAATACGTGGTACAGCAAAAAGGTTTACTTCATGACAGGGGAGTATGAAAGTGGCACAACTTCAGACTTCTAGTGGGTGCCGATTTGAAGTGAAGCATCCAATAAAATAAATGACGATAGTTTTTCGTTTATACCTTAAAATATCATCCTCCATTTTGTTTCATCAAAATCACAAATCGTACTACGCACTGTTTCATTCAAATTTTTTGTTTTCATAACTTGAAACTGTTATGAATTGCCTCAAAGTGCTCGATTTAACTCTTGTCAAAGCAGCTCGTTGTTGGACTTGCGTTTTCGAAAACACTTGGAAATGTTCCACATTTTGTAAATTTTTCGTGGTTTTATTCAAAATCATGTTTTGGTATATCACCAAAAACTCGTTCTCTATATATTCAATGCTATGATGGTAATAAAATACTCACCAAATCAGTAAAAGGTTACTGCTTTCTATAATCTGAAAGTATACAATAAAATATACATAATTTTAGTTTCAGTACATATTTTAAATTTAATAAAGTTTATTAGTTCTTAATTAAAAATGATGATATGATAAATTAATTATTTATAAAATGGTTTCTGTTTTTGGAAAAAAGAAGGCATTTAAAAATAATTTTCTGATACTCAATTCATCTAGGATCCAATTATAGATGCTAAGAGTTCATTTTACAGTACTTAAAATTTCATGTGATGATCGTAAACAAGATTAATGCAGCGTGTTTACAACTGTCACATCTGCACAAATATTCAATATTTTCATACGTATGTAATTATTCGAATCCATTCTCTTTAATTCATCGACGTCTAAGGCGTTGACTCAAATATCCAGCGTGTTTTTTCGATTATATTATCTCTTCTATTTTCATAATTAGCAATTTGTGGTTTCATGTATACCACATTTATATACGGAAATGTAGCCCAAATGTTCATTATTTAATACTGAAAAAACTGAAGAAGTATTTATGTTTTTTGTGATGGAGTAATCAATTTTATGACGGAGATATTGGTATTTGCGTCATCAGTAAAAAATAGTTAAATAAAATGAAATGAAATAGTTTTACCAATAGTATGAAACTCGCTCATAATTAGGCGCTAGTTTAGTTGTGTAAGCATAATGATAATGCGTTAGCTGACGTTAAAGGTACAAAACTTTATTTATGATTAGCATGTGCATATCTAATAAATTGCATGTATTTCATTACCGAAGATAAACACGTTAATTCTGTATAATCAATTTACTGTTAATATAGATAGGGTAGTTCAAAACAGGTGTTTTTGAGTTCTAAATAATTAAAACTAAATTAAAATAAAAGTCGGTTGTGTACTTCTCAAAAATTTTTATTTATATATTTTATAAGATAACGTCATCAAATTTGTAAAAATTAATTTTAGCATAATTCGCACACGTAGAGGCCGATATGTTACATTTAGTTAAAATTAGAATTGCTAAGAAGTTAGATTTACTCACTAAAAACTTGCTTCTTACGTGAATAGTTATAAATCCAAATTACTCAAAATAAGAATAATATTACTTACTTTTCTAAGTATATTGAATAAACCCAAAATAGCAAGATCTTTTTCCACCGTTGCAGCGTACAGTAACCTCAATTGTTTTGCAACTTATCAATACACGAGTGGATAGTAGTATTAAGGATTTGTTATCTTGTATACCTCATTCATTACATTACGTTTTATGCAACGAAAATAAATAATAACGGTGTTCTAAACGTTCCTTTAACGATGAAATGTCTGTGTGGACATGCTACTAAATCTATATCTAACAAAAAAGAAGGCGGCAGACAAATTTCCAGCTAATTGTTTGTTACATAATTTTTTCAAAAATTGTTTTATTAATTTGGTAATCTAGGAAATTTAATCACTTTAACATGTGATTGAGAAACTCTGCAGATGTCTGATATTTATCTAAAAGGAATGTTTAAGTAATAATTGGTTTATCCCGTCATTAAACATAATTATGTTACATTTAGTAAACTATTAAATTTTGATTTGTGATTCACACTTATTATAAACTTTTAGCAGTTATTGATGCCATTTGTGGTTTTTATACGAATGAATACAAGCTTCGTATACGGCACATTATTTAATAATTTCTTACTCTAGCTCATAGACCATTACTTCAAAAAATTACACGTCTGTGTTTTGAATTAGACCTTATAGACGAATTACATCACTTTCGTATTCTATCAAGTAATTAATCACAGAAATTATATACTATTGTCCTGCACGCGTACATAAGTCCAGCACGATGTTCCTGGTTGTTATCGTTACGAAAAAAATGAAAAAATACTTGACCGACTAGAATTCGTATTTTTCAATAAATTTTGTTGCTAAAGACTGGAAACGGGTAATAACAAAACACTCTCATTATTTAACAATATTGCAAAAAACTCTCTTTTTGATTTGTTGACATGACAGTTTTAGCTTAGTCTCCTCAAAATACGCAACAGTAAAACAACCTTACAAGTTTTAATGAAACAGTTACTTGTTCATTACGGCTGTTTATGGTAGATTAGTGTCGCAGTTTCGTAGTGTCATTTTTAGTGATGTATATCTTACTATTTACTTCTTTGTTAATACACATAGGCGCAGTTCCCATCAACACAGTGCAAAAAGCTGCAGAAAATGACTTTGAGGTAATATTGCCCCTTCGAGAAAAAAATCGTTAGTTTTTGATTTTAGAAACTTGATAACTATTTACCCAAAATTGGTGACTTTCCCAAATTTCATTACGCCACTTTCGGAGAAAATACTCGCAGCGACGATGACCGCTTGAACGTAATTGATTTCAAGAGTAACCACAAGGAAAATTCCCAAAGTGACCAAAAGGAAAAAGCGAAAACTTTTGGCGGTGTATTAGATTTTGTAAGCGAGGTACGTAGAAATTTCGCAGCCAACAACTTCACTTCCTTAATTTCTTAATTTTTTAAAGCTCGTAATTAAGACATCAGACGAATGAACACACATTTACTGTAAAATTAACACGTTTAGCGAAAATTTACATTCGAACACCGTTTCTTCATGCTGCATAAGTTTACTTTTTGTGCGAATGCTTTTTGCTATCCTGTTTGCATTCATATTAGCAATTTAAATAAATGTTTATAATAATATGTTTTACATGACGTGACGTTTTTCAGTCTGGGCATTTTTTACAATTTTATGTTTCCTTTGATACCCATATTTGTGTCAGCCTCTTTACAGTTTTCACATGTTTTTATTATGGAATAATCTCTTGTTATTGTAATAAAGAAAACTAACCTAGATAAATAATAACTGTGAACTTCCTTACTAATTACTTTGGTTACCAAACTATTGCACAGCTTAACTTGAATCTCTGTTTTGAATGAAAGGTAACGCATTATAAATACAGTAGATTAAAAAAGCGACATACTTAATTAAGTTTTAAATTAATTAATTTTGCGCTTCGGCAAGTCATGGAGGTGTACGTAAACATAGTGTTAAATAATAATAATGAGCACAAAGTAACAGCATTAAATCAATCAAGAAGTGTTCTACGCATAAACTAAACAATAAATAAAATTAAGAAACATGAAATTTAAAAGTTCTGTCTACATCAACAATTAAAAAAAAGCTTATGCTTTAATCGTGTAAATTTCAACAATAAACAAGTTTTTTACATGTATGCACTCCTATAGATATAATTATAAATACATGTTTAATTATTTATGTCTTGAGAAAACGGTACTTTTTTTAATACGTTACATAAGTTTACATGTTTGTAGACAGAGTAATATACATATAGCGAGTGATCCGGATGTCTTAATACATTTCTTAAACGTTATGTTACTGATGGTGCAAGTTTCATCCTTATTAGAAAATTGTATTAATGAAACCGCAGTATTTAGTTCTACGTTTGACCAAATTACTTTTACGTTTTCACAGTTCGTAGAATATGAAAAGGCGGAATTCCCTTCTTTATATCGACAACAACAAAAAAAAAATGAAATAAAACTTTAGTGCTTGCTCGTATAATTTTGCTCTCATTTTAGTAGTGTTGTCACGTTATGTTTAGTGTTACATTGTATGTATCATAGTTAACGTACTGAACTCCCCTAGAGACACATTTACTTTTGGTATTGCGTGTTAAAAATTATATTACAAAATGTCTTAAAAATATTCATTTCATGTCACTGAAAATTTCGAGACAATGAAATTCTCCTCGAAGATTCATTTAAATGTATTTAAATCATTCATTAGGCCAAAATTTATTAAACTTCAGGATGTATTCTGTGTATATATCTATTTTAAAATTTAATATTGTCGGAACCTGTTATGTTGCTATAGTAAAATGTGCATTTCAAATGTCAATAAAATTTTATTAAACAATTTTCCACTTCTGCGTTTGTTATATTTGTTTATGTTTTTGAACAAATTGTTTCATCAAAAATTGCTTGTTCCAGACTAACTGTTCATTTATAAACAAAATACCAAAATTCTGTCACTTTCGTATTGTTAATTTTTTAAGAATTTTTGTTATACCGGGTGTCTGGAAAATGGCGGATTAACTCTCCGCTACGCTCTTAAGAATCAAGTGGTGAGTCTGGGAAAAATAGTAAAAAAATCCTTCTCACATTTTGGTGGAGTTATAATGATTTTAAAATTGGTTCTTTTGCTACGTTTAACAACTAAACAATTCATTCATTATTATCAGAATAACTAGTAGTAAAACTTTTAGTTAATATTTTTCTCGCCCATAACCATGTTTAATTACCATTTCAGTTGGAATGCACAAAAGTATGGCTGTGTTGTTTTTGTAATAATTTGATAAAATTCCGTTTGACAACAATGTTTGCCTGATATAAAGCGAAGAATGGATTTCAGTCACCATCGTTACTAAGAAACCAGAAAGTAAGCCGGAGATATTCACGCATTAGGTGTGTACAGTGTTGCCAATTTTCCTTTTATAAAACCATGTTTTTTTCGTAATCTACATTATAAAGAATTTTTTTATTATTTTTTTGGGACTCCCGAAACCCCCGTATATAACGTACTGAAGAGTTAATCCGCCATTTTCCAGACAGCCGGTATAGGTAGCTTGAAAATTCTTTGTCGTGTTTAAACGTTTAGCTATACCGGACTTTTGTGGAGTAATTTTTATAAAGTAATAAGGGCTTAATTGGAAATGTTTCAATAAAAATTGATTTAGCACTTTTTCGAGTTGGCTGACGTAATCAACTTTCTCCAAAGGATGAATACATAAATTTTATCTGAAGTCCGTGAAAGTGAATTATTAAAATTTATTTCTTCAGAACAACTCGTACATGCAAAATAAAAACAAAATCGTTAAAACACAGCTACGTTAACGATAAGTTAGGATGACGTCACCAGTTTTTTGGACAGGATAGACAAATATCTGGGTTAACGATGGTCATTCACATTCATTATTGTATAAATTTCATAGTTCATTTTGGAGATGATTTGTTTGATGTAATCGACAATAAACTAAAAACAGTACAAATGATAGATGATATATAAAAATGACAAATATGCGACATCGGGAAATCAGCGTTTTTGTATTCTACAGTTGTGAAACATTAGATAGTAGCCAAATGACTATTACAACACTTTAGCGATTGTTTACGATTTGTTAAATTGTGTCAGAAATTTGTCAAAACTTCATCATGTACAGAAGTAAATTACATAAGTTGTATAACCTTTTTTTACCGAAAATGCACAGAAAAAAAATCTTTTCTACGAGAACGCTACATAATCTTGATCTAATATTTTAGTAGAGCACATTAGTTTGATTAATTACGTTGTACATCAGTAAAAACAACAAACATTAATAATTACAAAAAATATGTACACTGTTGTATTTGAAATTTAATTATACAGACTGTCAATTTACAATTTTTTTAAGGGTGCATCCGCGGGAATGGATCTTTTAAGAGATATTACAAGCATGTTCGTGTCAACAAGAAAACCTGTAAGTAATCACTTGAATAATTATTCTTTGTAAATAGTTAGAAAGGTCTTATTATCAAAACACTAACAATGAACGCTATAGCAAGATTTTTTAAATGCGCGCCACATGTAGATTACGTTTCATAATTTATAATTACTTCCCTAACAAAAAACGATTTTTGCATAAATCATTAATTCGTAAGATGGAAAAATACGCTCGATTTTATTATTCCCATTCACGATAAACGCAATTTTTATTTTGTAGTACCTACTTTTGCCGAGTAAATGCACTTGCGAAGGATTTATTATTCACACGACTCTAATGACGTTATTACCTTAATAACCTATTTGAGATGAAAAAGTTGGTACTTCGAAACAAAGAACGACTGCAAGTGTTCTGCTTGAAATAACGTTTTAATGCTAATATTCGAAGGACATGTCGAAACCGTGTAAAATTCATTTCCTCTTGCAGTTACAAGGTTAAAGGTGAAGAGCTAATTGAGCGTTTGTAAAAAATCTTGCAACAAATTGTTATATTACTTAAACATTAATTTCTATAGATGGTTTTTGATAATATGTAAATTGTTCTATTGTAATCAAGGAGGTCCGCACGACACACTTAATTCTTGTGTAACTTTATTATGATTGCCATTTCTTTCTCGTGTCAATAATACGGATAGGTTTAGAAAGTTGAATCCTCTTCTTCCATCATGTAAATATTTCCTGTTTGTACAATGTAAAATAGGAAACTGGCGATGGCGACCATGAAACAACAGTACCTTATGAAACCACAACGGAAGAACTGACAACAATAAGTCTTGACAAAAAGTATCAATTAGATCCAGTATTGTTGGACGACGGTGATAACAGTACTTCAAATAGAACAATAAGGCAAGAATCGAATGAAGTCGATATCGATGTTAATAATAATGGTACCAATAATAAACAGAAAGAGAGTCAAGAAAGTGAGGAAGAAGAGGAAGAGGAACCTGACATGATCACCGGATTAATATCAGCTTTTTTGGGTGGCTTAAGCAGAGTAAGCTTGCAAAACTGGTTTAGTATAAAATATATGCGTTTTTTGTAGCCTGATGGAAGCGTGGACGTCGAAGCTATTACTGGTTTGCTGGGAAGTTTAAGTACCGTGAGTTACGAAAATGTTGCTCTTTATAATTTTATAAAATTAATTTTTTGGCAGCAAAACGATGATGGTACTTATGATTTTAACGGACTCACCGAACTTTTGATGAGCTTCTTTGGGGTGAGTTTTTGTTGTTGTCTAAAAAATACTAATTCTTATTTTAGGGAACCGGGGAAGATGGAGGTGGTTCAAACTTTGGAGCCTTCTTGGGAGGGCTTCTAGGTGCTTTCATCAAAGGCGTCGCTAGTCCTCCTGGAGCGGTATTAATTTGACTATCACTTAATTAACATTGTTGTTGAATTACGAAGTCTACAATAATAGTTCCCGTTACTTTAGTTAATTAATGTTTTTTTTTTTTTTAGAAAGGAGCAGGAATTTTCCTAGGAAATCTTTTAGGTGGAGTTTTGCCGGGATTGAGCGCACCGGTAATTATTTTTGTAACCACATATCGATTGAGCAATTCTCTACTGTTAAATACATGCTGTACATTGCTTTTCTCTTGTAAATTGTGTATAATAAACACTTACTACATTAAAAAGGAGAAATTTCAAACGCGTATATTTTTAGGCGCCCACTGAAGAAGGAGAACCTCAAAAACCGCAACCGCCGTTGGATTCTGGTGGTTTTCTTGGCGGTTTGTTATCTTCAGTTTTTGGCAACCTTGGTGGTTTGAGCGGAAATAGTGGAGGAGACAATGCTGGAGGGGTAATTTTTGAATCGAATTTTGCAATGATTCGGTGAAAGCTCATAATAGGGATTAAATTGTTTGATAGTACTTGCGTTAATTGACACACTTTTGTTAATGAATAAGAAATAGCACAATTTCAATTTGCGTAGTTAACCTAGTTTAGTAGTCGAAACACTTAATCGATCTATCATCACACAATATAATAGATTGTTACATAATAAGTTTGGTTTTTACAGGGTGGCGGCAACAAGTTTTCACTTTTCAAGGCGATTTTTTCTGGGATTACGTCAGTTTTTTCATCATCCTCTGCAAGTCCCTAGGTAGAAGAACCGTTATTATTTAAATTATTAGTCGTGTAATTAGTAAATATTATTTATTTTTTTTATTGACAGTAATCATTAATACCGACTTCGTTCAACACATCAAGTTTATTTATGTATCGTATTATTAAGTCATGTCATTCTAACGTTATTATGAACTACGTTTTTATAAAAAAAAATATAGGCAAATTAACGACGCTGTTATTATTTTTTGTTTTTATTTTCACTCCCAGAAGTAAAATTTAAGAGATTTTCATATTATATATTAGAAAGCATGCTCCCTGAGGTTAATTTTAGACCCAACCACAAATTATTGCTTGCAGCGCAGTTTGTGCTTGACCGTATGAGTTTTTAGGATGAAATCACGCCGCGCGTGATAATTTTTTTCATTTAACTGCTACAAATTGCAAATCCCTGAATATTTCATGCATCGTTACTTTTGCTTCTTTACAGAGAAAAAAATCAAGTATGTCTTTATTTACTTTTATTGATCTGCTTTTCATGAAATATTCCCAAACAAAATTTTCAGGAATGTAGATATTAAACTTCAGGGACGTTGCTGGACAATGTATGAAATTTTTTTTTAAACGTTCTTATAGTTCACTTGTTCAGTTATGATTTGCTTTTCTCGAAATATCGTCTGTACGTTCAAATAGTCCATGGGTTTCAATGTTTGTGAACTTAAATATTTTATTTAAATACATTGTGAGTATGACAGTGGATAATTATAGTTCATGGGTTGAAATGTGACACATATATATTAAACATATTGTGTTCAAAATTAATAAGAAGTCTCGTTAACTCAATTCAAAAATACCATAATTACCTACACGTAAATTTATAATTTAAAAATATAATTATAAGATATTCATCTCATTAAATTTGGCTTTTACTGAATGTAGATCTCTTGTATAAGTAAAGTACATTCTCTTGAATAAAATGAAAGACAACCGGTACATCAACTTTAAAATTGTTTTTGTACAAGACCGGAAATTCGTCCAATCAAGAAAGGACTTTGTACTAGAACTAGCACAAGAGAGGGCTTTTTATGGGTTCCTCCAAGGAAGAATGTTATATAGTAGTAATCTATTACATATCATACATTTCTTCCTGAACGCTTTACAGATTCTCTATTTTTATCTTGTTATTAAAGTTTAATAACAGTGCTACACTTACTTTCTCAGTTTGGTAAGTAAAAGTATGCGCACTGATTCTCAAAATCAGATGTTATATCTAGTTTACAATTTAGTTCTTAGGAAACCCTTCCAGTACGTTTTATTTTTGCCAAATATTTAGTAGATTTCTATTTTGGTTGTGTACTGCGAGTATTAAACGACTGGTTTTGCAGGAACACGCTTTTATTCTTAGAAAGGATATTTCAGAAGAACTACCGGATGAAAAATAATCTAGGAATTGTCTCGCAAACGGGTTATTTAATGTTCTTAAAATTATGAAAACTGAGTAACGTTGCAATTATTTTTACATTCCATATAGAAAAGTTCATATATTTACCCCTACTAAACAGTTTTGAACGCTATTTTCAAAATAAATCTTTGTGATTCAGTATAAACAATTCTAAAAAGTATGAATGCAGTAGTTAGACAAGATTTATCCGGCAAGATTCTGAGATAACCTTAAGTTTTTGGAAGGGATATGCACATAAATTTTTATTAAAGGTGTATCATGACTTTAATAAGCTTAAAACGCTCGAAAGACTTCAGAGCACTAGTTATGTGGTTTCTAAGTTAAATAGTAAAATATTGATACCAAAATTTAATTTTTTTTTTAAGAAATCTGCATGTCCAAGGTAAAAAATAAAGACGGATCATGAATCATAGTACGATATTTTATAAAATTTATAAGATTGCTCTACAAAATTTTGAGATAACGTTATCAAATTATTGGTAGGATGATCAGATAAAATTAACGTTTTGCCATATACATGATATTCTTTAAATGCGTCTAATATTTTATAACAACCAGTGCACTAGTTTCGGGACTAACTCATCTAATCAAATTCTGAAGAGAAGATACATGACAGAGAACAGAGAGACGGCAGCGGGTACTTAATTTTTCGTACTCTTGGGGTTATGAAACGCCAAGAAAATTTGAAAATAGCTGTTCCCATAATTCCTTAGTTTACGGTTGCAAAGTAAAAATGATGCGATCACACAATTTGAATAAGAAAATTGTCCATCTTGTGTTTATAAACTAATTACTGTGAAAAATATTGAATCCGGCAAAGACTTTTTATGAAATTTATTTTAACTAATTTATTCGCTACACAATATATCTACAAAATAAAGCCTTAACTTTATTCTGGTATTGAAAACCGTAAAAGATTAGAAAACTGTTGTAACTGACGACTGCGAAAATAGGTTACATTTTACAACGCGAAGATTTAATATTGAAACACGAGGCAAAGCCGAGTGTTTTAATAAATCTGAGCGTTGTAAAATGCCTACCGCATGAATAATGTATGCAACTTTTTGGCCGATGACTTAGTGGTGCTTGTTTTCGTCAATTTTTACATTTTTTTAAATTGTGTGGAATTTGTAAATAGGCTTTCTCTGCGTCAAACGTCAGATAAAATTAAAATCGTGACAGATAGTTCGATATGACTGCTGCTTATGCCACAAGATTGGCGCTCTCCAAACTCAATAAAAAAATCAATTGCTATTATTTTAAAACATTTAATAGATGCATATATGCGGTATCTTATTTTGGTGAACACAAGCTTTGTTAATGATGAGGTGTCAATTTTTTAAGGGTTTTAAAACTCTGAAAATTTCTGTGTTTATTACCGCACTTAATTTGGTAAATGACAGTTCAATGTGCAAAAATGAAAATACCATGGCTATCTAGGGGAAATGTGTCTGAGACGGCATACTTTTTGTAATCGCCTCATAAAAAATTAAAAAAAAAAAAATTTAATTTATTTCACCTCGGGCATTTTCTTAGTTAACACAAAACTATGTTTTGAAGCATATTTGAAACGATAACCTTTTTTGCATAAACTAATATTAACACTACGCCATCTCAACCGCACAAGCCATCTCATCTATATACTTAAGGGTGAGATGGCATACCATTAAAATTTTACAACAAAAACATTAACCAAATGAAAAAAAATAGAAAATATTTCTTAAACGTTTATTTATCAAAAAACAAAATAACATTTTCATAAACATATTCAAATGCCGTTAAAAAAACATTAAATACACTTCCAAAAATTAAATAATTAAAGAAAACAACTTTTTGAAAAAGAAACAAAATATTAGTTAACTCTGAAAGTACAATTTTTATTATTTGCAAAGATCACAAATAAACTGTTTTGCTTTTCGAACTAAGCCCGCACATTTTGTGTGGCTCCATTTTCTGCATTTCTGACATTGAATCCACATTTCGCCACTTTTGGAAACAGTGTATAATTCATTACAAAATATACACTCCATGATTGACGAGATGATTTTCTCCGATAAGGACCCATTTCTGACAAATAAAAACATAATCTCAATGGTGTAAAACAAATCAGTACAATAAAGACATGATGGCATACCATGCCATCTCATCTTTAGATTTACTGTGCCATCTCACATAAAAGTACGTTTAAATCGAAAGTGCACCTTTAAAGAATTATCTTGAATAAAACCGTTGGGTTTGTGGTCATGAATTTATGCGCAATTACAATAAAAATAAGAAATTACTACTAGAACCTTCAACTTATCTCAAAATAAATCTTACGAGAGTTTTTCTGAGACGGATAAAAGTTTTTAACACTTACCTGTTTCAACAGTTTGCTCAAACATGAAAACCATCTCGCCAGTTAACCTCAAATTACGTAGCATTTTCTACTTACGCCACAGTGACGTGATGGCGTTACTCAAAGCGCTAAATTCAAATTCGAACTTAGTAAAAACGATAGTATGCCATCTTATCTAACATGCCGTCTCAGACACATTTCCCCTACGATACGTAAATGTCAGTTTTACAGTTGTCGAGGCCAAAAAATAATTTTTTCACTAGCAGCCATCAAGCATGCAAATGTCGACTCATTTAGAGGTAGCAAATTCAACTTTTGCGACCACCGGTTCAAAAAGAAAAATTGAGGTTATGTACGTAATGTTTGATGTGATTATTTCTTAAAAAATGAACAAATGTGTGCTACAAACATTACTTGAGTATACGCACGGTAGTTGGTAGATGGTACAAGATAAAATGATTAACTCAGCGACAAGTGTAAACGGTTTTTTTTGTGTTGAAGATTTAGATCAAGTTTGATTAGAAATCAAAACAAAATCATGTTGCGTCAGAAAATTGAACGTTTATTTTTTCAATTTATTGTCTTACGGTTTCTACTAGTGAAAAAAATAGTATATTAACCACGGTTGCAAAGCCACTTCTAGACCTCGCGCTTCAGAGCCCTCGACGCTGCGCGTCTCGGGTTCTAATTTGCGCTCGGTCTAGAATGCTTGGCCTTGCAACCTTGGCCAATAATATGCTATTAAAGTGTCAGAAGCAAACATGAATCTTCTTTTTGTTATCTTTTGAAACGAAATGACAATGTTTTTTTGATAAGTATCTTTATAAATAAGTACAATTATATGCATAGAAATATAAATAATCTAAGTTGTTATGAATTATTTTGAAAAAGTGTTTGCCATAATGAAATCCAAATAATAAGTAGAACAATTTTTCCAAAATTCTTAAAATAAAAAATAGTAATATAAACACAACACATGGTAAGACTTGTTTACAACCTTCACTTCCTCTCAATAAAACAATATCTAAATAACAACGAGGGTTTGAATTTTAAAATGACGTAATCAGGTTATTATATCATATCTAATGTGCTCATATACTTTATTAATTTATTATAAATTAATGAGCCAGAAAAGATTTATTTCCGTTGCATTTAAAATAGTAAACAAATAAATAAAAAATGCAAATCCATTTTCTAATTCTAGTGTCTCATTCGACTCGTAATTTACTGTGTAATTCTCAAGGTAATTTCATTAAAGCATATTATATTGAAATTGCCTACTCATAAACTGCAGTCTATTGTCATTCCGGTTTGACTAATTCAATTTTATTTTATTTTGTTGATGAAAAAGTGACAACGTGTGGTCTTTTAATGATTACTGACCAAAAACGTTTCAATGGATGCAAAACAAAGTTAATGCATATTTCATTTCATTTACCTTCACAAAACATAATTTGTCACAGCAATTAAACAGTGCAACAGCGGCATGTTCTGCGGAAGATATAAACGATCCTCAACATTTCCATTATTATTTTAACTGCATAGTGCAAATGACTTTATAATTACGAGTATTGTAGATGGCATCTTTGTGACATAAACTGGCATAAAATTAGTCGTCTTGTTAGACATGCTTAAAAAATTTTGTAACCATTTTAAACTAGTCTACTTGCCCCGAAAATCCTAAACTGTGACTCATTTAAAATGCTTTTTAGGATTCTTATGTAAGAATGTATTTTGGTTCCTAATTATAGCAATTAAAGAGCGGAAATTCACTACTGTTTAATCAATTTTTTACAAACATTCACTTTTTTCGTTAATGATCCGGTTTCTTCACCACAATGTGTGATGCGGTTTTCTTTTCGACAGATCTAAGTGTCATTTGTGGTTACACAATTTACTGATCTCACTATTATTTACTAGAGACAAAAGGCTTGGTTCTAGATAACTTCCGGGTTAAAACAATTACAACATTTTAAACACATAAGCTTTGTTGGCGTGTTTATTGTGTCAAACTTGCACAACCAGTCTTTAAAAAAATACCGTAGGTTTATTTGATAGAATCAAAGAATATCGGGCGTGGAGAATAAAAATTTACGGTTAAAAAGACATGCTACATACAAAGCATGCAGCTTTCACACTTAGAAGAATAACGATGTTAGGTGTTTGTTAAACTGTGTCCAATTAAAACGATTAAGTTTGATGAAACCTACGAGTTTTGTAACTCAGCTTTTGATACGATAAAAGTAACATTTTTTTCTTAACAACTATCTCATTCACTTTTATGTCAGTAAAGATATTGGTTAGTAATTTTTTTCCTGTAAAATAATGAAGCAAAATTTTTGGTAATTTCACTTGTTATTCGCCTGGTACGCAATGACCATAACCTAACTGCACGAACTATCAAAGAAAGTTTCAACAATTCCAACGATGTACGAACGCATTGAGTGTACAAGAGAGAGTAGTTAACCATAACAGTGGGGAATCAACTGGCAACAATTGAAACGTGTGTGTCACGGATTTCTTTTAAGAACTATTAATAAATTTGCTAAAATAAACAAGAAAAAAAGTTTCTAGTTTATACAGTGGTGGTGAAATAGTGAACTGGAGGTGCTATGATTCAGGAAACTGGAATCATGTAAGTAGTGGTTTGGTCTGACATTCACTTATGCAATTGGACGAATTACCATTATGCATGTTTTTTATCTGTTTTTGTGGAGAATGCTCATGGGGCAATTATTGTTGTGCTTAGAACTTTGGTTTTGAGATAACACATTAACATTCACCATCTGTTTTGTACGGTAATTTTGGGATGGTGAATTAAATCAATTAAGCCTTGCTTCCTGCTCATGTTTCGACTAATGGCTTACGGGAGAGGCGATATTTTTTTTAATATTTAAAACATTCATGTTCGTTTATAATTGTTATTAGCTCTTATACTCTAAAGTAGCTTGGAGAAATTTGTTTGATTTTGTTAAAGCAAAATATTATTACATAACAACAAAACATGGGCGTTCAATGTCCTGCAATAAAATAACTTCATTAACTTGATTTGACAGCTTTCTCAGATTCGTAAGTAGGTATTGTGTTAAAATAATAATTATCGTTTTAGACATTTTTGTAATAGTTGGTGATTTCATTTAACATGTTTAGTTACTGAAAGTGAAAAAGTCTGTCCAAAGTAGAAATGTAGATCGAGGCTATTAAATAGTGCAATGTAGTTCAGTTGCATTTGCGTTTGCATTTCTTTATCTAAACTGGTTTAATTTGTATCCAAAGAAATTACAAAAACATACTTTCCTCAAAAGTCAGCAAACCCTCCTGGTTAACTTATGAATAGTTGTTATTCGACAAATGAAATTTGGTAAAAGTAAAGCAAGGTAAAAAACTGGATTGTAAATAAAAAAGAAAGATTCAAAATAGTGCTGATATTTAAGGTACATTAAACCTAACATTTTTAAATGCACCCATATATTTTGGATCAATAGCATGGTTGGAGAAAAAACATATTTTCAACTTCCTCCTTGTCCAGAATTAGATTTCTTTCTTTTATATGCCACATTAGGTTAAACACCTGATTATGTCACCTCATTCGAAACAAAAATGATACCCGACGTAAAATACTACTATATTTTATAATAGACATACTTATATGCCATATTCTACAAAAAAGATACATCTTATTTGTTTTTCAACAGACATTACATTGCTGTTCTTGTAAATTCCCCAATATTCTCAAGTTATGTCCCAAAGGGTCGCTATATTCTACACCTTGTTGATTTAAATTAAAATTATTCTGTGTTTTACACGCTTTTCATGGACGGAGGTGGCACTAAAATGATTGCTTTTCCGGCGTAAATGTAGCGTCACCCCTATAACGTCAGAATTTGTAAGCAACAGCGTGCCAACTCACGTTTCATTTTATTTTTGTATTATTTTACAATAAAGAACGCTGTATAGTGTACGACCACGTTTGCGTATTGTGTGTCCCGTCAAATTTTGCTGCACTGTATATCGTGGGTGATAGGCTACTTCCGAGGCATGGTTCAAATTATGATCAATAAAACTCATGGGATCAGTTCTAAGCAGTGGCGGCTCCTCGGGGTGGCCAGGGTGGGCAATGCCCACCCTATTTGATTTATTATGATACGAAGTAAAATATTGCTTTTTTTTCTTTTTTAAAATATTTTATATGTATATACAAATAATTATCGTCGTAAACATCATTTAAGCCAACGGCTTTTCTTCATTACATCCCGCAGTTTCCGCAACTGAGAAATTGCAGTTGTAAAAAAGTGCGTCAGGTTTCGGCGTTATACGGTTCATGTGAGGATGGGCTAGTCCACCCTGGTCCACCCTCTTGATTATAAGCAACGACATACGTTCGGTTTTCTATGTACGTAATTGAGAGTAAAGAATTCGAAACGCGCGTCTTTGCATATCCGTGTTTTCTTGCTTCAAGCGGGGCAGGACGCCCTGGCCTCAACGTATATCTCAAACGCTGCAGAATCGGATCTCTCGATATTCGATTCAAGGATTCAATAAATTAATTTCGATTTTTTTACTTCTTCTGTATTGTAAAAGTATAGAGGTAATTATTTTTATTACTCTATTGAAATATGGGTAAGGTAGTAAGGAAAATAATGTTATGCGAAAATTCTTGAATACTATTGTTATAGAAAAGAGCAACACCATAATAATTAATAAATACTTTTTCATATCAAATGAAAATTTGTAATAACCATATTCTTGTATGTATTATGACACCGTGTAAACTTTATAATGAATTATAAACTTAAAAATCCGAATAACCAATGATGAGAATAAGTAATACATTTATTACTGCAGTACGTATCTGACATGTGTATTTTTTTATTATTACATATGCATTTTTGTTTCATAAATATAACTGTAGCAGAGTCAACAAAAGTTAAATATACGCTTAATTTATTATTTAATTCAGACTGTCCGCACAGGTTTGTTACGCGTTCGCTCTAGCATGGGTGGGCAAATCCACCCTGAAAATCGGAAGCACTCAGCATGGTTCGTCCTCGTCGGAGACACGACTCAATTGAATTCAGTCAGATCAGAAACTGCAGTCAGGATAGTGCATTTAATTATAAAATGTAGTTTATTCAAATTACCAAATAGTTAGGCGGGTACCAAAGTAGGTACTTTCTAGCAATTTTTTTTAATGGCAAATCCTACTGTAAGCTGTGCAAATAATATTAGAGAGGTGGTAAAGAAGGCATTAAAGACATTGAGTTTTTGTTTTTAATAAATAAATTCAGTAGTATGGAACTTGATATTTATGAATTATTTGTTTATAAATTAAGATCATGTCCCGAAATGAAACAATTGGCCATCACAAACTCTCGTGGCAGTAATAAAGTCTTTAATCAAAGTTCGGACAATAAATATTAGGTACCTATTGGTTGGTTGATCGGTAGTGAAACAGCAAACAAAGCTGTTGGAATTATCTGCTATTTAACATAAAATTAAATTACGAACACTTTAGAATTCCACAAGAAGAGCGATATAAAATATATCGCTACTGCTTTACAAAAACATGAGCAATATGAATAAACGAAAATTAGGTACTTGGAAAACGAAGTGAAACTATAGAAAATTCTCTTAAAGTCGGCGTTTATTCGATATGATAATTTTCTTGGCTACACAAAAACATACATTTCGGGGACAAGATGAATCGCAAATTTCTCTTAAAGTAAATTCGATGATAAATTTAAAAAGTTTTTTGGAGGAGTCTTTGGTAATTAGTGGTCTTTAGAACGATTATTTTGGAATTATTTTTATTTTATTTGTTATTGTTAACTTTGTTAGTATTTTGAGAATTTATGTTTTGTTTGATTTGGCATTTTTAATTTTGCTTTTACAATAATTTTCCAAATTGCTGCTTTTTCTAAGTGTAGCTTATCTCAAAGGTTTAAAATTTAATGTTTTCTCGTCATGTTATTTCAAAATTTTTACATGTTGGGATCATTATTTGAGTTTATAGTTCTATAAACTCCTAACAAATCTATTTATGTGCTGAACCTTTTTTTTGCTCCTCTTTCCTCTTCTAGCAAGAGTCTTCGACGTTCTCGTTGGTTCTTGCTGACCGACATTGTAAGTAACATTTATAAAATTAAAATAATATATATGTAATATACATAAAATATTTGTTATATTATATTGATTGACATGCAGCACCAAAACAAAAACACGTTCTCACAAAAATGATTAATTATATATATGTATATATTTTTTTTCATAGATGTTCTAACGTACCTATAATGCTTTGCCCACTCATCAAAAATCACCACGAGCCGCCACTGGTTCTAAGGCTTTAATATATATGTACAACGAGATCTTTTAACGATGTACAAGGTGGTGAACTGTCTCATTTTATCGAAATCTTTTTCCAAACTCTTTATTGTTCGTCAAAGAAAACCCAAAAAGAAGGATAATTTTACATTCATTTTTTGACAGGTCTAATAGGACAAAAACGCCTAAGACTGCACAGTAAACTAATAATGCCCAAGACCATTTAAATAAAAAGTGAAAATGTCACATTCTTGGCTACCACTTTTCATCGTTTTGCTTCGGACACGGTTAAACAAATTGAAAACAATTTTTTTCTTTTATTTTTACATGTTCAGTTGCTAATTAATATCGTTCATCTTTTACATTTTTGCCTTATTATACTAAGGAAATTTGATTTTTATTTTATCTTATTTGTGTCAAGTAGGTTGAAATAAGGCATAAGGTACAAAATAATGAAACTGAAAGTATATTGTCTTATTGTTTCTAATAACAGAGGAAGTGGAATATGAAAATATTTAGAGATAGATTATATTTGCATCTATAAAAAAATTGTTCAACACATATAACCATACTATGAAACACATCCAATACGTGCACGTTTTGTACCAACCTACAAATTTAAGAATTCATTGTTACAGAGTGAAATACGTCACCACTAATTTGTAGCGATTTCAGACTTTGAAAATACCCTGAGGTCGGTGAATATTTGTTGCCTTTTATAGATCGATTAATGGAATAAATTTCAGTTTGTTTACTTTCCACGTTTTGTGTATCTTGGATGATCTTTTTACGCTGCCGTTAACGTTTTAATTTTTAAGAGGAATAACGAATTAATACACTGCCATTAATTTTTTGCTTGTTATTTAAGCTGTTTGTGAGCTTCATACAATACTTTTGTACTTTTGGAGATAAAACAAGAATCTTGTTTTTGTCCTTTTTACTTCCCGAGCGTAAGGGAAGGAAGTACTGTAATCGAATCCGTCGGTCGACTCTCAACTTTTACGTTTTTTCGACCTTTCATGACCCCTAGAGGACGAAGGAATAGGTTTTCGGTTTCCGTCTGTCTGTCTGTCCCTCTGTCTGCCGTCCGGATTTTTATTACACAGAGATAATATCCAAAAGTACTGGGCCGATTGTTGTCAAATTTTGTATTTATATTAGGAATATCATGTAGATGTTGTTTAATCATCCCCACCAATAATGTGATGACCTCACTTCAAAATTGCACATAGTAAAAGAGTTTTAAATTGTATAAAATAACATAGTAATGTAGTTTATGACTCCGTGTTGAGTTTTTACCCGAAACGTCGCGAT